TCCAGTGGTAATCGGCACAATGGGTGCTATTTCAAAAGCACTGGAATTACAAAGAAAACAGCTAAAAATTGACAAAATCACCATCAGTCAAATGCAAAAAGCTGCACTGCTTGGATCTGCACGCATATTACGAAAATACGTTATGACGTCCTAGGCCCCTGGGTGTGGCCCGACTAGTAACCAATGCCAAATCCGGTGAAACAACTGGCTGCTGTGATACAATTGTATAATAATAATAATAATGCCAGTGAAAAGTAAAACTGAATTGTATCCTAGAGAGGTGTGTGAAAAATATTAACGTGTTCTCATCTATCCCAATTTTCTTCAAAAAGTCTTTCGGTTTAGCACAGAAACTTTGAGCTATGGATAATCAACTTTATTCTTTAATGGACATTCTGGAGCCACTGTGCAGTTTCCAAATGATGCTCAAGTAAATCGTTTGGGCTGCCACTGTAGCTGCCACAGGCCCTTCTTCCTTCAGCAACTAATTTCCATTTAAATCAGGGATTTAATCGGTTTGATACGATCCCACTTGCAATGAACAGCCTTCGCCTTACGTGAAGAGTGTCTATGGGGATTCTGACATACAGAGGGCAAAGGGACCTGTCTGCACGTAACAGTTTATGAAATGTGAAATGATACAAGGGTACCTAACAGATGTTGTCTGACAACAATGCTAATTCATCTTCAACTCATGCTAATAAGGCAGTTTCTAAAGGAACAAGCAAAATTCAAGTTCAAATTTAGAAGGTCAAGACTGTTGACCAAAAGATCTCATATTTAAAAGAATCCCGGGTAGGATGCACATGTGTGTTCACACACACACACACACACACACACACACACATTGTACAAGCACACAGATACTAACATATTTTCTAAAATATACCCACATATACTTACACATATGATACATAAATAGGTACCATATGTGAGTGTGTATTTGTACTGTTTGTGTGTGTGCATAAAATCTGTATATATCAGTAGATTTACTTATTTACTAATTTTATTTGCTGCCCATCTCACAGTTCAAGCAATTCTGGATAGTTTACATCAATATAGTAAAAATTGGGACAATGGCAAGCCCCTTATCTTTCTTACTGTAGAAAATTGCATCTCCAATCAGATTTTTGGGGTGGTTTTCTTATTGTTTTGGGCCACTTTAGTTTGCTTTTAATTCCCCTGGTGATTACTTTTATTGTTTTCTTGTAGGAGTTTCCCTCAACAGCCTATTCAAATTTGAAAGATGAGGTTGTACACATGAAGTTAACTAACTAGTAATGCTGATGCTGAGAGTTCTAGAAATTAGATGAGGGATCAGTCCAGCACCTTTATGGAAACCTCAGTTACCTCAAAGAACTAAATCTATCTATCTATCTATCTATCTATCTATCTATCTATCTATCTATCTATCTATCTATCTATCTATCTATCTATAAAAGCCAAGTACTACTCCTCACCACGAAATCTCCAGAACCGTAAAGCCTATAAACTTGAAATTTGGCACGTATGTTCCTCTTAGCTCCAAGGTGCTTGCTAAGAAAGGATTTTTTGAAATGACTATCAGTTCATTAGTATTTCCTATACAGTTATTAACATACTCTGATGCTAAGGAGGTAACTCTAACCCTCCCCACCTGAAAAGGAGTTAGACATTCTACTCCTGCTCCCCACCTGAAAAAAACTCTGTTCCAACTGCCAGTTGCCTCACACTCCATTACCTCAGTTCAAATTGACAGGCGTTCCACTCCTTCACTCAGGCATGGCCTGAGGTTCCTTAAAGTACTAAACATTGGTACCTCACCAAAATGAGGTTCCCCTTGCACATATGTGCTAGTCATTCCCAACTCTAGGGGGCGGTGCTCATCTCCGTTTCTAAGCCGAAGAGCCAACGCTGTCCAAAGATATCTC